TCTGGATTCTGTTGTGAATTCAAAATATTACAAAAATATAGATGTTTTGTGTACCGAAAAAATAAATATTAAAAAAAATTCTCTCTCTTTCTCTCTCTCTCTCTCTCTCTCTCTCTCTCTCTCTCTCTCTCTCTCTTTAAAAAAAATTTAAGATAAATAAGCAAGTAAAGAAGTCTGGGGATGTAGCTCAGTGGTAAAGAGATCCTGGGTTAAATCTCAAGTACTAAAAAACAACCAAAAAACAAATGCAGAATCATTTGAAACTAATAATGGTTACCATTTACTAAGCAATTGCTTAGTTACCATTTACTAATCAATGTGATTTCCTTTATTCTTCACAAAAATTCAAAAAGGTAATTTGTTTACAATCTCTAATTTTCACAAGTAAGAAACAAGTCTCAGAAACTTACCCTTCATGACAAAGCAAAGAGGTAAGGGGGCCTGGATTCAAAATCACACTAATAACCACTATATTCAGTGAAAGAGGGAATTATCTAGATCTTAGTACCTAAATAATGTATTTTCTTCAAATGTTCCTAATTACTATAAGGCTGACCTTATTCTTATATTCGAACCACCTAAAAAGAGTCTCCAAAATAAAATATACAAGCCAAGAAGGAAGGAATAAAGTGAAAAACTCAAATGGAGTTTAACATTGTTCTTTTTACAACAAAGGACATTCAAAACATGTTACCATTAATAACCATGTACTTGGGGCTAATCCAAACTGAAAGATTAACAGTTATTTCCTGTCCAGTGAGTTTACAAATTACAATGGCAAACAAGACACAAATAAAGAGTAAAAATAGAAAATATATGGGTTGAATTTGGGAAGAAAGGTCAGTATCCCCAACAACACTGAATCTATTTCTTGTTATCTTTGGATCACAAGAAAAATCTGAAAGAAGTGATATTTAAAGAAGTGTGAGGACTATGAATTGCACCCTGCTGCTATTGCTTCATGAGAAGTCTTTCAAAATGTTCTTGAATCCAAATAACCTGTTTCTGAGCATCTAAAAGAGACAGGAAGGAGACTCAATATTAAAGATTTACAAAAATGGAATAGAATTGTTAAGTCATCTTTAGGAAAGAAAGGAAAGTATGGGACCACTGTCGTGGTGGTTAAAAGTAGCTATGTAGAGAAAAAAAAAAGAAAGAAAAAGAAAATTATCAAAGATATCACTAATACAACAACAACCAAAGAATTAATGACACTAGACAGATGGTGATATGTAGAAACCTAATAATAATGGAACCTAAATGCTCACAAGAAAGAGTGAGCTATGATATCAAAATATATGGATATTTTTTGAAGGGGGGTACTGGGGATTGAACCCAGGGATACTTTACCACTGAACTATATTCCCAGCCCTTTTAATTTTAAAATTATATATATATATATATGTGTGTGTGTGTGTGTGTGTGTGTGTGTTTTATATTTTTGTTGATACAGGGTCTAAGTTCCTTAGAATCTTGTGATATTGCTGAGGCTGACTTTGAACTTGCAATCCTCCTTCTTAGCCTTCGGAGTCACTGGGATTGTAGGTGTGCTCCATGCACCTGGCAAAGTATATGGATTTTTTTTTTAAACCCATTAATTTGACCGAAACAAGAGTTGTTTTGGTAAAGAGAAGTAGACAGAAGCCAGAATGTAAGTTGATGAAAAAATAATTAGGGAGCAAAATGTACTTAATACATTTGGAGATGTCTGATTAGAATCCGTGAAGGTAAATGAAAGGGAGAGAAAAGAATATCTGGAAGAAAATGTAGCTGCTACAGCATATATGTGATGAAGAAAAGACTTAGTCAATGAGAGAACTGAAATAAAAGTACTGATGAAAGAGAAACAGCAAGTTCACATTTTTATAAGAGAATCCACACTGAAGGAAAGAAAAAACTTTTAGTCAAGATTGGTATTATAAATCTGCACTTGTGGGAAATTTGTATCCCAAAATATGAATCTGATTTGATTGGGCACTGTGGCACATGGCTATAATCCTAGTGACTCAGGAGGCTGAATGAGGAGGATTGCAAGCTCAAGGCCAGTTTCAGCAACTTAGCAAGAACCTATCTCAAAATAAAATATAAAAAGGGCTGGGGTATAGCTCAGTGGCAAAACGCTGCATGAACACACAAATATATAAGTACACACACACATATATGTGCAAATCTGATTTTTTCCCCTCTGTATAGTCTTCTCCTTTTTCTAGCTCACTAATAAACCAAGAGACTTTCTTCCTCCTCAACCCTCACCAAAGCAGAAATAACTATTCAAGGTTACTGCTGACTAGAGGAACATTCTAGAGCCTCCCATGCTTGTTAAGAATCTGTTTACTTTCTCTCTGTAATAGATAAATCTGAGTCTTAGAGGAAGGCACAGAAAGGGGAGGGTGTAATGAGAAAGGAAGAATTGACAGGAGGGATTAAGAGTCCTCAAAATGACAAAAGAAAGGATTTTGTTGTTGTTGTTGTTGTTAGAAAAACACTTCCCCTTTAAAAGTAAACAAAACCAAAACCCTACAACCAGTTTTTCATTGAATAGTCCTGTATACATGTTTACATGTAGACCTCAAGAGGGAGGGAGGTAAGTTTTATATACTTTAGAGGGAATATAAACATGAAAAACCTCCCTCTGTAAACCAGATGGAACTAGCCAAAAAAAAAAAAAACTGGGAAATTTGCAGTGAGCCAGGTAGTAGTGACTTGCCTGCCTTTGATAGCATATCCTATTAATTTGTAGGTTAGGGCTGGGGCTATATAGCTCAGTTGGTAGAGGTCTTACGTCATATACACAAGTTCCTGGGTTCAATCCCCAGCACCACACACACACACAAAATTGTAGGTTATTAGCAACTTGGGGATTTGGAGGAAAATAATTACATGACCAGATTACTGGGAGACATTTCCC